ATATATATATATATATATATATTAATTAAATATTATTATTAATATTATTATTATTATTATTATTATTATTATTATTATTATTTTAGTTCCTGATACGATCGTGAATTCGATTAATCAGTGTACAAAGAGTATTTATTTTTGCATCATCAATCTTTCAATTTCTAAAAGAAAGTAAATGTATTCCTAGGATAATATTTTGTAATACAGATTGGATTTATATTCCTAGTATTATAAACACGATTCTTTTCTTCGTAGCAACGTCGAAACGTCACAAACTTATCGATCGTTCGTCTTTTTTACCTCAAAGGTTTGTCGCGTGAAATTCAAACGTGAGTTTAGCACGCTACAAAGAATATTATTTTTCTTGATCGATCGAAACAAAATAAAGAAAATGGGAATGAAGATTTAATAAATATATCTTATGTTATATTTCACATAGATATTTAAATGTCTGTAATGTTTTATATGAAGAGATTATATTTTATATATTTTAATATAAATAATATATTTGTAAATCATTTTATATGATTAATATATAATTTATAAATTATAGAAGAAGAAGAAGAAGTTTATTTTTCAGGTATACCCCTTTAGGGTGTTTACTTCGAAGGCCACCCCCCCCTACATGTTCGTTTTCCTTGACAATATACTGAATTCTAATAATTTATAAATTATATAAATATATTAAACTTATTTATAAATTATATAAATTATATTTAATTATTATATTATTTGTAATTTATTTATTACATTATTTATTATATTATTTGCAATTTTTTTTATTATATTATTTATTATATTTAATTATTATATTATTTGTAATTTATTTATTACATTATTTATTATATTATTTGCAATTTATTTATTATATTATTTATTATATTTAATTATTATATTATTTGTAATTTATTATTATATTATTGTATTTTATATTGTATATTAAATTAATATAAATTAATATAAGATAATATATTTTTATTTGTATAATTTATATTATAATATTTTATAATTATATTTAATATAATATAATATTTTATATTAATAATATTTATTATATAATATAATATTAATAATATTTATATTATATTAATTTTAAATGATAAATATATATATATATTATTTTTTTGCGAATATTTTATATAATTAAATTATAATCTCCACAACGAAGGAGAGTACACACATAAATTATTCATAAATTAGCAAAATAACATCAACTATTTCCAGAATAAATGAATACTTTATAAAAAAAAAAAAAATACTTCGATAGATCACAATAGATGAATTCAACGTTGCATAAATATTTGTATTTTTTTTTATTTTTTTTTTTTTTTT